ATCAAGAGCAATGCGTCCTTCTCCGCCTTCCCCCAGAGCTTCGAAACGCAGTCTATCGGTACGTCTTTCAAGAAGACGACATAGAGATTTGCGCCCCAATTGGCGAGAATACCAACAGTGATCGTCACACACATTATCCTAGACAGAGCCTACAGCTTCTCGGGACTTGCCGTCAAATCTATACCGAGGCCAGGCTACTTCCTTTCGCCTCGAATATATTCAAGGGTGGTCATTGGGCACTACGAAGGATTACAAGGCTTCTCAGTCGGGATCAAGCCGATGCCATATCGACTGTGTACATTGTGATCGATGACTATCACTTCAGTTTCGCCTTGGATGTGTCAAAAGACGGGAACTCGTTCAAGAATTTATACGCGCCAGCCCGTTTGGTTTTACGTGATACTTTGCTATCGACGTTAGAGAGGCTTGCGATGCTACCGGAACTAAAGCAAATTCTTCTCTCTCCCTCGCAATACGAGGGCAACCCCTGGAAGCAGATCTGGAAAAACGGTTGGGCAGAGGATTGCAGACAGCTGGTAGTAGAGGCATTGCGACAGCAGACAACTCGCGGAAAAAAGATAGAAATTCGTTCGCTGGTTGAAGAGTAACAGTATTGGCTTTGGGTTTCTATATTGTGGCATCGAGACACCCGATAGGCCAGAGTAAGGAACTGGGCCGTTTGTGCTGTGATTTCATGTCGCCTTACCGACCCTATCGGCAGTCCGGGTTCGCATTTTGGCCACATCTAGAATCCATGAGCTGTTAAAAACTTGTTCAACTCTGATTTCAGTCTTCGCTGAGCGTCCATTACGTGAGGACAAAGAATGATGAAGCAACCCATTTATCGCATCTATGGATGCTAACCTTGGAATGATATCGGAGGGTTGCACCTAACCTACGTATCAAATCAGATGCTACCTGTGAAGCCGTGCATATCCGAGGCCTCTGGAGGACTGTATTGTAGCCAGCGAGTAGTCGCTTTCGGCGTCTTGCTCCGAGTACGTGGAGTGAATGTACTCAACTGCAATATGAGCTCTTATGGAACACGGGAAAACGTTTATGGGTTTTATTATCCTGTCATGATACTGTTGGGAGTGAGTTGCGCCTTTCGAATTGTGAGCGTGGCAGCATTCAAAGATATCTCTTTTGGCGACGATGAGGTATGTCCTAGCACGTCGACACATCTAAACACTCCACGTATACTCAGTGAAACGTCCACGGGTTCGTTCGGGAATGCCCATTACGCAAGCACGTCATCTGGCCCTCACTTTCTCGCAATGGCTCGCGCCTTCCCTACACACCGTCCTTCTTGTTTACCGCCCCACTTTCCTAGCACATGCTCAAAAGTGATTACGCAGCCTTCTTGATCTCACCATCAGCACTCATACCTCTCAGGGCTTTGTATTCGCCATGTACTCGCCCACCGAGGCTATGCCTGTTCCCGAACGTGTACTCTACTACGATCGCAGTGTTCTGCTCATGGAGCGTCTCGCAGCAATGTGAGTACTGGATATCGCATTCGTCGTACTGCTAGCTAACAAAGATACAGCTCACAGCGCAATCACCGGAAGTCACCCCTCCTTCGTCTTCCGGCAGAACTCCGCAACAAAATCTACAAATACGCTTTCCTCTCCCATCCAGTTCGCCCAACCCGTGAGCACAGAGAGTGGCCACACTGGGCATATCCAAGATCACAATTGAACCTACTGGAGACCTGCCGCCAAATCTACTTCGAAGCCAACCTCTTCCCGTTCGCCCTCAACGTTTTCGTCGGCTACGCAGAGCATGTCATCGAGCTGTTGTTGACAACTTTCACTCCTTCCCAAACCGACATCATATCCGATGTACGGCTATATGTTGACGCCTTCGGAGTGTACAGGGATGGCAAGATTCCAGAGGCCGGACTCAAGGCATGGTTCATTGAGGAACTGGGGGACCTGTGTCAGCTTGTCAGTCTAAAAGACGTAACACTGATCTGGTTTGGTAGTGACATTGATATTGTCAAGGAGCACTTGAATGCGACAGTGCTGGACGTCTTCAAGGAGGCGGGTCGAGGAGATATCAAGGTCATGGTCCGGTACTTCGATTGAGGTGTCGCGTGTCTGAGTGCATGTCATATCCAGCTTCTCCTGTGTTATTTGTCGAAATAAAACTCTTGTCATCCATTAATCTTGACCAGCCCCACGACGGAGGTGATTCGCCCCAAGCTGTACCAGCGAGGTCGCGCTTTGAAGGTGTGCGCAGGGCTTGACACTATCGTAGAGCAATTTGGTCGTATAACTTCTGGGTGTGGTCTAGCTGGACGGTGAAGAACATGATCGTTGAACATTCCGCTGTGACTGCATTACTTCAAAGAACTTCTCCTCTAGGTGTAAGGAGAAGATGTTTGACTAAAACTAAGCGTATGGACACCGAAAGACTATGGCGTCAGTTCCCTTCAGGGCTGGCGCGTGCGGGCGCAAACATGCGGCACGTGACCCGGACCCTGCCAAGAGCTGCTGCAGCCTAACCGCTTGTATTATTCTTTGTTGCCCCACGCTCTGCTTTGGCAAAACCTCACCAACAACCGCCCGCCGAACGCCGAACCTCAAATCTCGCTGCAGTGGAAGGGGTGCGCATTACTAACCAGTGAAAGTGACAGATTTCCTGACCCGCCAGTGCTAACATGGCGCCGCTCGGTCCGCCTCCGTACACGGCCGAACAGCTCCAAGCGATAACCTCACATCAGGAACGTATTCGCGCCCAGGCAGAGCTCACCAGTATGTGAAAGCCGAGTCGCAAGGTCAGAAAGATACTTACGATCTAATTCTAGGCTACATTACGCGCGCCAGGAGAGAGAGGCAAGAGAGGGAAGAGCGCGAGAGGCTTCAGTCGAACGCTTATTCTGGCTCTGGTTACCGCACCACCTCCGGCAGCTTCAACCATTACACTCCTCCCTCCATTCCTTCCTACGCCCCCGTTCATAACCCCGTCTTCAATCCCGTCTACACCCCCGTCTCTGATACTTCCTACAACCCTCCGTACAACAAGTTCAACCAGCGCGGTGGCTATGGTAGAGGCAGAGGCCGTGGCGCCCCTGGCAGAGGCAGAGGCTACACACCCTACCACCCCTACGCGCGTCCTCCCAATGCACCTATGTACACTGGATTCGCTACTGATTCCAATGGCACAAGTATTGTCACCCAACCACGCGAGGCCAAAGAGAACGAGGATCCAGCGCAGGCATCGGCGGCCAGCACCAGGTCTTCATCCAGAGATCACCAGCCGATCGAACCATCAAGACTTTGTGCCAACTTCACACATACAGGTATTTCGACGAAACGACATTTCGGAACCTTTCCTCACCCATTGTTCGCCTCTAACTTTTGTCTAGGTCGGTGTTCCATCCCGGGTTGTCCTTTTGGTCATGATCCGGACACACAAACCGTATGCAAGTCGTTTCTCTTCAAAGGTGTTTGCTCCGACAGCAACTGTCAGCTATCCCATACTGCATCGTCGCACAACGCGCCTACGTGCCAGCATTTCCAGGCAGGTCGATGCACCAAAGAAGACTGCCGCTTTGCTCATGTTCGTGTCAATCCATCTGCACCGAACTGCGAAGCTTTTGGACGCTTGGGCTACTGCCAGAAAGGAGACACCTGTGCCGAGTTGCATGCATATGAATGTCCCACCTTCGCCAACACAGGAGAGTGTTCCTACACTGGTAAATTTCACTATCCACACGTTCGTCTTGCCTCTCGCATGAGAAAGACCACCCGTCTGTCTTCTCCAGTCCAGTCCGCGCCTAATTCCCCGGTCCGTTCTCGTTCATCACACACCCCTGCTACTTCGGACGCCCCAGAGGATGATATGGATACTGCCGAGGATGCTCATGAGTGGATGATGCCGAAGACTGGAACTTCTCCGAAGCCACAGCAGTTCACACAGCAGGCGGACTTCGTTGCCTTTGAGAACGACGACGAGTAGCATTGCCCACTCACTGGATCCGTGATATCCGGACATAGTATGTGCCCCTCTGCTCAGCTTCCATTACAGTCCTTCCTAATTTGAGGTTTCCAAAGTTTCCAACCTGTGGTTTTCCGACTTGGTAGGTAATCTCTGGAACGCATTCAGCTTGTCTTGACTTTTGAAGGTCCAGAGCTATTCATGGCGTCCAGGGTTCTTTCGATGATACCCCCTCTTACGATTTCCTACCTCTCTTGTCTTTTCCTTGTTCCTAATTGAGCGAAATCTCTCGCTCCTGCTGCAAGCGTATCATGTGACCCGATGCGACGTTGTGCGCTTGGCGGATTTTGCACAGAGGCTCACGAAGTCGCTGCTGGCTTGCTGATGGATACAGTCGTCCCATGAAGGACATGTACGTGAAAGATCACAGAAGAAAAAAACATGTAAAAAAAATCAAGAACTTAAGATGAATCTCTTCCGTCTGCTGTGTGATGCCATAGACTGCTACACGTAGTCAGTCGCCATCTTCAACAGGCACTAATTAATGCTTTGACGCGGGCATCAGTAGCGTCAGGTACCATGATTCCTAGTGTGAGACGGGCTATTAGGCTTGACACCCTCATAGAAAATGTTGCCTCTTCATTTGAATGTCTTGTATGTGTTCGTGATCGTGATAATGGCCTCACCATGTACGTATGTCTCGTACCGCAGTATAGCTACAAAACTGTGATTGCTGCGGTTCGTGGCGCTGCGTCTGACATATGAGGCGCGCAGTGGAGGCTGAGACGGGCTGCGGCTACTGCTTGGCCCTCGTCCTACAGTCAATCGTGCCTTACAATTCGACAGCCCGCGTCGGCAGGACCATGAGCGCTTTCACCTTTGCGATGAATCTACGGAGATATAGGACCACCCTCAGAATTGAATAATACCCACCGCACGACACTCGCTTTCCGTTGCGTGAAGTTACCCTTGGATATTGTTAGGTCTCGAGCCGCGTACCCCTTGCCTACGCTGGCAACGCGAAACTCGACGCGACAGCTCCTTTGCGCACCACCATGGCGCTCAAAGACTTGTTGAAGAAGAAGGACAAGATTAGGGATGAGGGCGCGACTCCCACGTCACCCACGGGCCCTACGCTGTCTCCCGACGTCCCAGAGTTCCAATTCTTCCGCACTACGACTTCGACGCAAGAGACCATCGAGCCGCCCAGCTTCCCCGGCGATCCCACGCGCGAGTCTCCTCTACTGTCGCCGACATCGCGCGGCAAGTTTGGCCGGTTCAGAAGTCGCAGTAGCGCTTCCTCTCAGGGATCGCAAGCAGCTGGTGGGGAGCAGAAGCATGACAAACTGGCGGAGCGGTTGCACTTTGGACGGAGCAGGTCGAGCAGCTCAATAAACGTGCCGGACAATCTGCCAGAAGTCGGAGGAGACGGCGTCGCACGAACAGAGGAGGAAGAGGCCAGGTGGGAGACGAGGGCTACGGTGCTGGTCACAATGGGTGGGCAACACGGATCTAGTCAGCCCAATACACCAAGCCACGAGTCTGTAAATCCAATGTCACATGGACGACCGACGAGCGCAAGGAGTCGTAGTGGGACTGTCGGCGCGCCTGCGGACGAGGTATGCATAACTCTGGGAAAGGGCAAGAATTGGTCTAAGCTTTGCATAGGAGACGATCCAAGAGGCCATCCGTCTGCATGAGAGTAGTAGTGAGTAGTCACACGAGGCGGGTTCTCATGATGAAGCTGACAGGATGACCAGATCTTGAGGCCTCAACAGCGCTCTTTGGCAGACTTGCAGAACCAACGGGTGCGAACAATGCTCTAGCGCAGGTTCTCTACGGTCTCGCATTACGGTAGGTTCAGCCTCACTGATCGCAGCCTGATATCACCAGAGCATACCCGAATGTTGCCCTGGATGTTGCCCAAGGCAGTACTGACTAGAACATAGCCATGGCTGGGGATGTGAGCCTGACCAGGAACAAGCTGTCCAATACCTGTCCATGGCAGCGGCGAACAGCGCTGAAGTCGAGAAACTCGCACTCGGAGCTGGCATGAAGAAAGGCGGTGCAGCCAAAGGGGAGCTCGTGCTGGCCATGTACGAACTCGCCAACTGCTTCCGCAATGGCTGGGGTATCAAGAAAGATCCCGCAGCCGCAAAGCAATACTACGAGACCGCCGCGAATCTAGGTGACACAGATGCGATGAACGAGGTAGCCTGGTGCTATACCGAGGGCTTTGGAACGAAGAAGGATAAGGTAAGCAAGCCGTGTCGTCTCTCCTCAGCCCAACTGTGGCCGTCCTGCAGTGCACGCCTGCGTCACCGGTCAATGTCGACTCGTTTAGAGGTTCATGCGATAGCGACGCGAACGGTCAGCCCGGAGGTCTTGTACAGCCTCGACCTCAGCCATCACGCGCAATATGCACTGAGACACGACTTCCCCTCGTTATCCCGCCTCATTGTTTGGGCAGCATTGATTGTATTCGGATTAAGCGGCAGGTATGCTAACTGCGCCTCGCCAGTTCAAAGCGGCTCAGTTTCTGCGCCTCGCGGAATCCAAAGGGAACAAGACGTTAGGCAACACATGGTAAGCCCCATAGATTCTTTCCTTCATCCCCTTCTGTATCGAGCACGAAGAGCGAGAATATGCCGGACCGAGGACCACCTTGACGCCGTGTGGATGGAGCACATGGTGGTCACCACGAGCAGCCATCACGACCTTCATCCGCGCGATCCCGTTCCAGCCGGTGTTGCATCCTCAATCAATCCTCAACACCAAGCCACCATAGCAACCAGACAGGATCCAACAATCCAACGCACAGCGCTACTGTCCGCATCGGCCGACCGGTTTCAACGCGCATCTGCCAAGCATAATCGATTGGCCCTCGATGCACCGTTTTGAACAGTCCTGCTCGCTTAGTCGATGCGGACGCTGGACGGCCCTCGCCCTCACCCGCAGCACGACCTGTCACACTTACTGCCAGTTCCCCGCTACGCACACATGATGGCATTCGCAAAGAAAAACTTGACCAGTAGCACATGTCCCGTTTGGCACAAGCCTCGCTCTCCCGTTCCAATAATGGATAGTGGCATGCCTCCAGACCCGTTGCGCTGGGTGCATAGTACACACAAGCTTGTCTACGGGGATACACGTGGCGCGTCGCTGGTGGCCTCGGTTCCGAAGCGGAAGAGTAAGCGGAACGATGGGGAGGTTTAGCCAATTATGACGGAACCACGAACGTTGTGGTGTGTGTGGAGCACAGTCAGATGGTGCATGTACGGATGGTCTGAGCAAAGCTGGAGATTGAGTTGCATTGATGGCGCGACAATGGTGGTGCTGAAAGAGAAGCGGAATATTGTATGACGGCTATCGCGACAATGACGGTAGCCTCGGGACGACGACCAACGACCCATCAACAACTTCATCACGATCTGGATCTGGGTCTTTAGCCCGCAGTAGTCTCGGCATCCCGTTGCCTTCTTGGTCTGCACCGACTGGATACCGAGGATGTTTTCACTGATTGGTGGGATGAACAACGTGCTGACTTATCTCTCTCTACAGGATCTGGAAGGACAAATACAACCCCAAATAAGGCGCGATCCGCAACCCGCTTACGGACAGGTCCTTCCGTCCCGGTCCGACTCTACTTCAACAAGCCTTATCCTGGAAGTCATGAGGGCACACACCCGGAAGTGGTCGTGTGAGGACAGTGACAGAAGCCTGGTCCCTTTCCCGCGCGGGGAAAGGGAAAAACAAGCTATTGTTTTTGCTTTTCCTTTGCTCGGAAACTCACACCGTATGTCTTGCATAACGTTATTTCCAATAATTCACACTATTGCTGGCCTATCATCGTCGCCGTACTATCTGGAATTTTTCCTTTACCCCCCATGACTGTTGCTTAGTTCACACGCTATCGTTTGCTGAGGATGCACGTAGAGTAAGTGGCTTGCTGAAAGGCCGTCATCTGGATCTGGGAAGCGAAGGTCCGGAGGGCTGTACACGGACAATGTCTCTGGTACGCGACAGGCTATGTTTCCGCTTTCAGAACGTGGGGAGCATGTGGTGTGGCACAGCAACGGCGTATGTCGTAGTACAGCAGCCCGTTTCTTGTTAGTTTGTCAGATGAAGCTTGCTGGATGTTGCGTTTTAGGCGATGGTGTGTTTACCCGTATCGGATCGTGTGTGACGGTCAAGACATCGGTCTTTGGCCTTGCCCTTCTGATGTCCTCTTTCGATAGATCGTCCTCCCCAAGTGTCCATGTATCGTATATCGTGTTGACTACTGCAGGGAAACTGACCCTCTTTGCTCAGCCACTCACACCACGCATCTCAGGCTTCCCGCGACCCATCTGATCCCCTCAGTAAGAAGCGGTCCGAATATGAATCATCCATCATCCATGATACCATTCTCTGCTGCATTAGCCTCTCCATTCATCGTGTTTCACCATAGCTGCACGCTTCTGCACAGTCAAGTCAGATCCTTTCGACATGTTACCAATCAAGGTACTTAACATAGGGTGGGGCGTAAGACAACATTCGTCATCCATCGGACGAGGGAAAAAAAGGTGGCTCAGCCCCACTGAGGGCCCGATAACTTGCATATTGCATGATATGCTGGACCCTGTGGTAAATCCGCAGTCCGCAGACGTTACTATCCAGGTCTCACCTTGCGAGCAGAGTGGGGGATGTGCAGTTTTTTGGGGCTATTGTTCCGCGTGAAAGAAGGTAATCGGCTGGGTGGCTTGCGTTGGCGAAGCGTCATACCCACAGTAAAGAGAGTGAATTACTGGACATGGTGAACGGCTGTGCAGTCAAAGGGTACGTGCTTCAGGCCATGCATTATGCACCGCGCGTAGACTTGTGAAGCATGTCAGAAAACCCGCGGATGGCGCGTTTTCCCGGTTGCTATGGAAGGGAGATCCATTCATGGACGCTTCGCGCGATGCGAGGCACGCGACGGACGGTCAACCGCGTGGGTCCTCGACGGAAAAGCCGTAAGTGGAGAAGGGGTAATTCACACATGAAGCGGTGGAGACATGGACTGGCAGTGAATGAATGATTCACTGCGACCAAGTGGGCGGGCTGGCGTTGTCAGATGCAAGAGTCTCGAACATGGCAGTCAGTGGCGAGGACGACGGGCTTCACAGACCAGTGGGTGAAGTCGGGTGCACATTCAAGGAAGCGATGTAAGCGCTGGTATGGAAGGGCATCCGATAGCATTACTTGACTCGTTCGCACTTCTCTCCTCGCCAATAGAGTGGGCGACTACTTAGGTACAAAGACATTGTCCCGGTGGTGCCATGCCAACCAATCGAGCCCTGCCCACCAAGGCCCTGTGACAAAGGTCGCAGAAACGGCCGCATCTGTGACGCGACAAGGGAATAATCGTGAAAAAGCTGGTATCTCAAAACATGCGCGGACAACAGGTCCGGAAAGGGGGTATTACGAAAAGTGATAGCGTAAGTAGGTGGCCGTGAGAAGCGTAAAGGTCGTAATAAAACTTATGTTAGTCGTAAGAGGAGGAGGAAGGGGGAAGGAGAAGGGGAAAGCATCGTCTCTTTCAAGCAATAAAACAAAACTTGTAACCATCCTCCTCGCTCAAGTACCAGAAAATAAGAATGCTGCCAATCTGTCTCGCTCTCGTGCCATCATATACAACTCTCGTCGTTTGTCGTCGGATACATGTCCCATGTCCTTCGTTTCAATCTCTCTCCATATCTCGTGGTAACGTTAAGGGAAAATATCCAACGCTCGCTACGCTTTGCAGTAAATACAAAAGATGAAGCCAACCGCGAATGTGTGCTCGCTCTGCTCGCTGAACCAGTCTGATGCCAAAAGGAAAACCAAAGTACAAAGGAAACAATAAACACAAGACTAGATAGGTGAAGTCGTGAACCAGGTCTCGACGTGGAAGGAAAACAACCGCCATGTTATGCTCAAGCGAAGAAGGGTACCTGATGAGGTGGACCCAAAATTCGACGTTGCCGTCCCATATTGTAGAAGACTGGCAAGCGCCAGAGCTGTGGTAGAAAGGAAAATGGCGATGCCCATCGTAGGCGCTCAAAGGAGAAACGCGCAGAAGAACGAGGTTCCAGCCGGACCATGATGCAACTTGTGACCCTATAGGCACCCCTATAGAAGGGGTGCTAAGAAGTGAAGCGCTATGCTGATAAACGACAAATGCAACTTAGGGGAGTACAAAGGAGAGGTAGTTTGTTGGTAGTGATCGTGGTGGGGTTATTTAGCCCATGTTCTCGACTTTGGTGCCGTCGGATGTGCTGGGTCGGGACATGGCAGCAGACTCCTCAACGATGCGCTTGAACTCGTGGACGACCTCGGGGGCGATCTTGTCCCAGAGCAGACTGCGAGTGTAGATCTCAGCAGCAGAGTCGCCCTTGCTTTGCTCACGCATAGCGGCGAGGGTCTCGGCAAGGTTGCGACGGTGCGATGGCTGAGAGCCGGGTGACAACGGGTCGCTGAGGTCGTCGCTGGTCATGCTGTAACGCGAGCGAGTGAAGTCGAGAGACGTCATGCTGTTGTACTGGTCGGGAGTGATGGAGAACAGCTGCTCGTGCTCTTGCTCCTTGGTAGGTCCAGTGAGGTGAGAGTGCAGTTGGTCGAGGTGCGAGCCAGAGATACCAGCAAGCTCAGAGCCAGACATGGTAGTCTTGGGCCAGGCCATGCCGGAAGGCGTAGGCTCGAGACCGGTGACGTGGCTGGCAATGAGACCTTGCTCGCTCATAGCGGTCGACACACCAGCATCCTTGAAGATGCTGTCGAGAACGGTAGCGGAAGCGGCACGGACCTCGTCGGGCATGCGAGGAATGGGAGGAGCGGCACCACCGGACTTGCTTGCGACAAAGGCACCGCACAGCAGGAGCATGAGCAGGAGGCCAGAAGCGACGGGCTTGTCCTCGTCCTTGCGGGACACAAGAGAGAGCTCTTGGTTCTGCTGAGGAGTAGGCTGGTCCTCCGAAGCGAAGTCGTTGACGAAGATGTAGTTGTCCCAGTCGCTGTTGCCCATGTTGAGGTTGTCCATCTCAGAAGCGAAGTCAGTGAAGGTGCTGCTGGGTGCGGCAGCCATGCCGGTGCTGCTGGCAGCCTCAAGGCGCTCGGTGAGGACCGAGACCTTCTTGCGAAGCTCGCCGGTCTCGAGAGTGTGGTTGCGCACAAGCTCCTCCTTGTCGAACTGCAGCTGGTTGATCATGTGGTGCATCTCCATGGACTCATGGTGCCACTTCTCCTTCTCAGCGACAAGGGAGTCGTACTCGATACGCATGGAGGCGAAGTCATCTTGCATCTGGCAGATCTTCTCCATCCACTGCTTCTTCTCCTCTTCGAGCTCCTCGGTGTGCTTCTTCTTTCGTTGCCGGGAGTCAAGTCTATGATGATGTTAGCTGATGAATAGGGAGAGGATAGACCAAGAGGTAGATTGGACCAAACGTGGAGCGTGGAACCAAGAACCAAATGGGAGTACGTACGCGGCCTGGCGGTTGCGGAGGAGTCGTTTTTGCTGCTTGAGCTCCTTGAGGTCCTCTTCGTTGGTGCAGCTCTGGATGAGGTTGTCGATGTTGACGAGGGTGCGCTCGGCCGGGATGTCGAAGCGGGCGTTCTTCTTGCGGATGCCGCCGTCACGACGAGGGGAGAAGGAGCGGGGAGGGGTGTTGGGCCTCATGCGCTTGGGTCCGGGCCGTGCGTCCATCTCCTGCTGGTTGAAGGCCATCCAGTCGGAGTGGGTGTGGGGCGACATGGGCTGCTCTGGGGCTGAGGGGAAGACGGCACTGGGTCGGACATTTTGGTGCACGGGGAGTCCGTGGAAGGGCATCTGCTGCTGCTCGACGAAGGGTGCCGCTCCAAAGTCACCGGGGCCGAAGGGGTTCAGCGGCTTGGGGGCTGTGGGCGTCCTGGAACCAGAGTTGTCGGTCACGGGCCATGACTGCTGGCCGTAGGTAGCAGCTTGGTTGGGTGGTAACCGGGCGAAGGGGTTGTTACTTTGCTCGGTGAAGAAGGGGTTGTTGCCGTTGGTGTTGACGACGGAGCTGGTAGCAGTGCGGTCGACAAACTGGCCGGCGGAGAAGTCCTCCCAGATGGAGGTATCGGGCGAGAAGATGCCCTGGGTGCTGGTGGTGGGCGACATGAGCACGGGCGTGTCCAGGATGGTAGAGTCGAGGGTGGCGTTGTCGTCAAAGGAAAAGGCGGAAGGTTTCCTGTCGAGGTTGTTCAGTGTGGAATTCGGCCTGTGAAAATCCATGTGATGTGCGTTGTTGGAGTATTGATGGTCCATGGCGGGCCTATGTATCAAAGTACCGGTGTGGGCTAGGACTGGCGGTGTGGATTGCTCTTTTCGGTAAAGGTGATCGCAGGATGTCCCCAGCGATTGTACTCAACTTCAACGGTTGCGGGTATTGGGGCAGGAAGACGGGCAGCAGAGGCGATGCGCGTCTGATAGCGAGCGATGGGCAGGTAGCGGCTCAGTGAGGGTCTGGGTGGTGGCAGGTGAAGGTGGGAGAGGGGGCTTAAAGCATGGTGGTAGGCTTCGGGCGGGGTGTGCAGGAAGCGCAAGCCTGCTTGAGCGCGACGACCGGGGTCACG